ATTATAAAAATGGAATTTTCAAACTTAATATTTTAAAGTTGTACGTGGTGAAAAGTTGCATATTGAGAGTTAGTTAATGTTAAGGTGTAAAAAATTCAAAACAAAAATGAAAAAACAATGCCACGGAGTCTCATTAGCATTTCTTAAAAAGCCAGCGATGGCATTAGTTTTGTGATGATACCGTCACTTATAAGTATTTGGTACAGGTCGTGCGGGCATTGTTTCTTGATTTGTAGCAATAACATTGACTTTTGCACGTTGGTAAGGACACCTTATAATACATCACATATTTTAGAAGCGTATCCTCATGGAAAACGTAACATATTTTACCTTGCCATACCGTGCGCTTTTTCGATTAGTAATGCAGGGGCGTATGAGGGTGTAAATTCAACACAACGCCAAAAATCCCGCCAAAAATATGAAACAATTGTGTCAATATTCTAAATCAAAACGCCTATTTTATGCTCGTTAAACGTCATTTTATGGTAACAGAGATTTTAAGCTTGCAATATTTTTCCCAACCTAAATGTGAACGGAAATACTTAAGCGATGCATTTGTATGGGCGATTGGTCATACGTATAGGTTGGCGTTTCGATTTTATATGCAAGCTTTAAATCCCTGATACCTTTTTAATGTGCTTTAAAATGTTCGAATGATTTTCATCATTTAAAATCACCTTCGCCTATCTTTTAAATCTCGACACAAATCATTATCACTTTGCTAATGTCTCGAAGGATTGAGACGACCAATTTCCAAATAACAATGAGAGATTTTTTTCTAAATTGAATTTAGATATATATAGTATTGTCTGATTCCATCGTGTACCGTGCAATACAATACGTACAGATTAAAGAAACTAGTTTGATCAATTGATATAAAGAAACGCATTCTTGATCAATTAAACAAATAAACACCCCCACCACAAAAGTCAAATCGAGGTCAACGTGACTTAGGGGGTGCGAAAAAATGTTATGAAAAACAAGAATCTATTATTTTTCAAATGAAAAAAAACTAGGTAATCGCTTTTCTAGAACTGAAATCAATGGAACGTGTAATTGAATAATCAGCATTTTCAAGTTGTTTTTGTCATTAACATTCATATTTCAAGAAGTACTACCAATAACAATTAGTGATTTAGTAAGAAATTAGATAATTGTTGACTTAACTATAATTTATGTCTATGATTTTGCCTAGCAACGGAATATTTAAATCGATGTAGTGAAATTGAAAAATTGGGGTAGGGGAAAATAAAAAAATATACATCTAAATTTAAAGAGGTTCATCATTATAATTATATGATACCATAGTTTGCATAAGCATTACGGAACATGCAAAAAAATTCATCAAGTAGTTTTTGAAAAAACAGTTTTTCTCTCAAATTCGTGAAGAGAACGCGATTCACGAATATTTGGCTAAATTGTATTTTACTTTTAAAATTTTTCATGAAATAAAGCATGTTGGTAAGGGAATTCAATCTGTTCAATGATATTTGCCAGACAGACAAATAATAATATGGTATCCACAAAACATTTCTTTAGGCTAGTGTGCTCAAGATTACTTTTACAATTTTTGAACAATGAGAAAATATGACTAAAGAACATAGGAAAATTAAGTATTTTTTATTCTCACTTTTCAACACTACACTTGGCGTACATTGTTCCTACGCCACTGAGTAATGCACTAGTAATCTTTCTCTAGAAAAAATAATTCTTCCAGATTCGTTACATTTCTTAGCCGAAATCGCCTGCTAACTTCTTCGTTCATTTTGTCCGATTCTCCGACGGGACCTTGAAAAACAATCACGGTAAACCAGGCCCGTAGCCGGGGGGGGGGGGGTCGAAGGGGGTTAAAAATCATGCAGTTTTTGACCATTTTGAGCACTTTTCGTATGTTTTTTTGCCAAAAACTGAAAAGCTCAACCCCCCCCCCCCCCTTGGCAAAAGCTCCCCCTTGGCATGGGCTTTCAATAACGCAGATGCGAGTAGGTAGTTACCAGATTCACCACCAGGTGGCTCGTTCGGGTCAGATAGCATGGCGGGTATAGTAGAAAGTTCCCTTTAACTTAAATTACATCTATTTGCGTGGTTCAATTTTCACATAACCCTTATGTATCTAATAGTTATTCAAATTAAAATATGTCCAGTAAAAGAAAATGTTATCTGTCCAATACAAGAAAAGATAATTCACTTTTTGTGGTTTTGTAACATGGTGTGTATGGGGAATCAACCCGAACAAGAAGTCACATTTTCAAAAAAAATTAAATTTTTGATAGACAATTTTGATTGATAGACAATTTTCGAAACCATATTTCTAGATGTACTTTTACATGCAGATTTCAAATATGACATCACTTTGACTGAATTTTGAATATTTAATGACGTAAATCAAGATTATATCTACTCGCATCTAGTCTATTAGATTCTAATTGAAAGCCCATGCCCGTGGTAAAACCACTCCCCCACCACCAAGTAAATCCTGGCTACGGGCCTGTGAACGAAGAAGACGTGAGATACACTGAATAAAATCGTGCATGGTCAACGAGTACAGCATTGTTTATAAAACTCACGGTCGTCGGGGAAACGATGTACGGAATGTGACGTCGGTGCTCATGAAATATGACGTAATAACCCGTCAAGGCAACCGGGGATTTGTTATTTTTAACAATGGGAGACAGACATAGAACAATGGAGCAATAGATACACAATGGAGTTTCCATTCCAGGTGATTTTATTCCAAGGTAACACTAATCCTGATTGGTGTGTTCCGAAATAGATTGACTATTTCCCTCGGAAAGTTATATTCCCTCAAATGTGACGTCAGCGGGAATATACATTTGAACTATTGCCCGCTGACGTCACGATTGCACTTTCTATAACCCTTGGAAACGTCTGCGCATCATCACTGTGCAGACGAAAAACAGAAAAATGGAGGATGAGCACAAACACAAATCAACTCCGTTCACCATGACAGACGTGCGTGAACGATACAATATAAGCAACGTGTATAAAGTTCCCTAAGCTCAATACGTCTGCGTAATTTCAAGTGTTATGATAATCTATTCAGCGTGTTAAACGCGATTGGATTTGTCAAGTGAGAGTCTCAGAGGCAAAAATTTCTGTTGAGCATCTGATGACGTCACAGCTTATAATGCTAACAATGGACCCGGGGAGGGGGCTTTCTCACGGACCTCTGCCAGATAAGCTCCTCTGTGTCTAGGCTCAATATATATCCCTTGAGCCTACTACCAACAGGGGCTGGATCTGGCTCCGGATCTGTGGGCTTTCTAAGCCTTTTTGGCCTTCGCAGAGGAAACGGGACAAGAGACAGTATAGGGTATATAATAAAACAAATAGTGACTGCCTAATTTCGAGCAATAGTGTAAATGATTTCCCCTTGGGAATATCCTCTACAATGTACTATTCCCTCAGCCTGCGGCTTCGGGAATAGTACATTGTAGAGGATATTCCCTCGGGGAAATAATTTACACTATTGCCCTCAATGGCAGCATGGGCTTTCAACTAGAAGGGTAGGCAACCTCCCATATTTCATACATAAACATTGCCATGGGTTTTCAAAATTGGAGAATGTACACATTCCAAGAAAATCTTATTTTGTACTTTTTATTGATGATTAAAAGAAATAACTCAAAAATAAAAACATGATCTTCTACATACATCTTGATAATTTAATAAAAATTGGAATTCATCCTAATTATGACAATACAGAAAGTGAACATTCTCCCACAAATTATCTTTTTATTGGAATGTGTTCTTGAATAATTACCCACAATGCAATACTCAAAGAGAACATCTTGATAACTCTTATTCTTATTGGTCTCTTTTGTTTACTTTTATATGATATTGAATATATTTTATGCTTAAATCATATTAAAAATTGATTTTTATTCAAAATAATACTAAAACATATACATTTATCTAATACTTTTTGAAATATTGCCATAAAAGGGAAGCATGTCATTGCTCATTTTGAAGGTCTCATGTTATTACATAGAGTTGCATACCCTTCTAGTTGAAAGCCCATGATGGCAGTCACTATTTGTATAATTTGCAGTCAAGATGTTACGAGATGCGCACTCGTTGTTTTAACAATTAATTCATTATAAAGATGGCGTCGGTAATCTTGGTCACGTGACTAGTTTTCTGCTCTTTCAAGAATTTGCGGGATTTTGAATTGGGATAACAAGAGCCATTTGTTGAGGGTTCAACGGAGGAAACCTTTAACTTTTATCATGGTAAGTGAGTTCATTATGTTACTCATGTTGTATTAAAGTTTTGGTGCTGTTGATTGTATATTTGAAGACGAAAATGCGAATTTAATGAAGCCCCTGAGTTTTTGAAGTATTTTCACAGTACATTTGCTAAGCTTGTAAATTCGTATATTAACATCACATAAGCTAAAATTTTGTACTTCTTCTTCAAGATAAAAGAATAAATTAACGTTAAATGATATATTTTTTACATCTAGAGGTCAGATTAATCCGTTTACACGAAATGAAAATCTTCCGATTTACAACTTTTTTTCGAAATGTGTCCTCCATTTTTCGATTTTTTGCCCTTATTTTCTCTTTATTCCCGTATTTGATGCGAAAGTTATGATCACATTTACAATAAAACTAACATATTTTCTTATTTTGTATCTTATTATTGCCACGATTGGGTCTCATCACTTCAGAAATGGATTCATAGACGAAGTTTTATTTTCCCATTGAAATAACATGTACATGTAGGTGCTGGACAGCTACTCGGATAAATAAATATTATGAAAAAATGTCCTGAGCTAAACCATTATCAAAGGTGCACTATTTGTCTAATTCAATAGGTATAATGAGGTATGTTGTGTTGTTTTACTGGTATATCATTGTATGTCAATCAATACATGAATAGATGTCTATTAATGGTGTCATTATTTTTAGGGTTAAAGTAGTCAAGTGTGGTATAAAGCAGTGCTGTAGTTGAATCCCTCCAGAAAAGATATGCTTTGAAGGATGCAATAAGTTACTATCAGGTAAACTATGTTGTTTTATATAAAAAATAGTATCACTATTGGAGCTTTTGCCAAGGGTGAGGGTGGCTGTTTGACATGCGAAAAGTGCTCAGACTGGTAAATCTCTGCATGATTCTGAGAGAATTTCTGGCTGGGGGAGGGGGGATGGGGGGATGAGTGTCTGATCCCTCCGCTCTCCCTGACTATGGACCTGAATAGGATGTGTCTTCTAATGGTTTGCTTGTGGCATTTTTGAATAGGGTCCACATAAATACACATTTTAGATTTACATTTACAGAATACATTTTACATTTTTTACATTTTATTAACCATAAATAGTGTGCATATTATACCAGCTTCAGCAGTTACAGCTTTTTGCCTTGATAACATACAGTTGTACATTGTCAAACATAGGTGCACTATTTGTTTGTCTTAGTGAATAGATATATTGAGGCATTTTGTGTTGATTTACTGGTATATCATTGTCTGTCAATTAATACATCACAGATTCACATGTATAGGATTCTATGATTTTTTCATTATTTGTAGGGTTAAAGTAGCGCAGTAGAAAATATAAAGCAGTGCTGTAGTTGAATCCCTCCAGAGAAGATATATGCTATGAAGGTAAACATAAAAACTTACAATTAGGTAAACTATGGTGTTTTATATAAAAAAAATAGGCTAGTATATCAATATTATTAATATTTTGATATAGGGATTCATAAAAATGTTATCTATGATGCTTTGTGATTATCACAAAGTTAGTAAGCTTACAAAACAATGCTGTTGATGCCATTTGCCATAAGATTTGGCAATCGTATGTACCGTCATGAAAAAGTTGCCATTCACAATAGGGTGTTTCATCCTTGCTGCAAGCAGCAAGGGTATTTTACTAGTATTTAAGCATTAATGAAGTCTTTTGAAGAAGGATTGGGTGTTCCACTTTTTGATTTTATTTTGGATCAAGATGTAGTTTTGCCCAGTTGGTCTCCTGGTAGAGGAAAGCAAGCACAAAAAATTCAGTCAAATCCGTTGATGTTTAGACCTCCCCCTTCCACATTTTCTGACACCCATTCACTACCATATTAATAATTGTCAGAAAATTGCAGAAAGTATCAATTTCATCATGTTTGAAACCCATGTTCTACCAAAGGCATTACAGTGATTTGCATCAAATTCATACTGAACAACATTTCAGAAATGTTGTTCAGTATGCTTTTGATCCATGGTAAAACCTAGTAGATGGTACTTTGCCTCATTTCTGAGAAAATAATTGTTTAAAGAGAGAATCAGATATAGCAAGCAGGCTAAACAAAAAATTGTCTCAATTTTAGAATATTTTTGGCTCATGTCATGGCTAAAGTGCATACTTTATTCAAGGAAAACTAAAGATTTTTACAACAATGTATTATTTTTATATAAGAATGGTTACCATTCTTATTATTTGGGAGAATTTAAACATTTCCACCCATTTTTGCACTTTGGATCATTAATAACTTCACCAATTTATAACATATTGTGAATCTTTTTGGAGATATTGTATTTCATAGTGTAAGGAATAGATTGGTTAAATGTTAAAAGTTGCTTGTAATTTTGTCACCCCCTATAGATCTGATTCTTCCTTTAAGCATTGATTATAATAATGTGCTATATATCATTAATGCTAACCTGCATCTGTTTTTAGCAATAACCAGGTATTGATAGCATGAATTCTAGAGTACCTATGATCCCCAAAATTAAAGATGCATCAGCTTAAGCTATCACATTCCACCTTTTAAAAGTTCAGGACCCTACATTTTCTAATCGTGTAGTTATGGCCCCCTCAAAATGGCAAAACTCCATTGTGCGTGAAGCAATTTGAAGTATTTGGTAGAACATAGGTCTCAAATATGATGAAAATGACAGATTATTAAGACGATTATTAATATGGTAGCGAATAGACGTCAGAAAGTGTGGTAGGGGGCGGTCTAAACATCAACAGATTTGACTGAAATTTTTGTGTTTGCTTTCCTCTATCAGGAGGTCAACTGGGCTATACTCCACCCATTGATCTGGAAAAATAGTCGAAAAATGAAATAACCTAATCCTCAAGCTCCTCAAATTCATTAGAAGCCTATTCTCTGATTCTAGGCCTGTATGAAAAGAATTCATCAAAGTGTAGCAATTATAGGCACTTAACAGTTAATCTGAAAACATGCTAAGAGCTGATGTGAAAAAATCATTCTACCCTGGTGTTATTTTTATTCCAGGAATATGAGAAGGACTTCTGCAAAATATCTGGCAAGTTTTATCCACCCTAGTGAGACACTAACACAACGAGAAACACTATATAATAAACTCCAATACGACGAGATAATATATTTGTTATCCAAATTGATTAATAACTAATAAGATCAGATACTGTTAAATAAAATTCTGTCCGGGATTTGTTATTGTCGTATACAAACGTGGTATCCGAACTGCTTACTTATAGTATCCGTTGCGACCATTAACAATATTGTAAATGTCTAATTAGCTAAGTAAATAAATATGTCGTCACAGTCGCTGTTGGCTATGGAGAGTTATTAATAATTATCGATCATAAATGTTATCATACTTTTCTCGATTTAAATATCCAAATATTTACTATGTTTAAAAATGAAAATGTTTGTTCGACCTTTTTTCTTATTATCAAGAACGCGCATGCAAGTTCGGCAATCCTTGTACATTGTGTGCACAGTATGCGCATTTTAATCGTTGTATATTTTTCTATATACTATAATACTATTCATTTTTTTGTACAATTGAACCGAACATACTTTAAAATCATCAGCTTTAAATAGATTATATAAACGAAATTAGCCTTAAAATAATAAAATTCGTGCGTTTGTAAATGCTCTCAATAAAGAAATAGACCAAAATACGCAAGTTTACTTTGAAGTTTCTTTTATCGTCTTTTGTCATTAAACTTTAATGTTCTATCGATAAAATATGTGGAAATACCAGAAGAAGCATTGGAGTAGGAGAGTTCAACTAGAAGACAGCAACCCCTTGGAAAAGCATACTTCATAACCGTGTGCAATATATGTATATTATAATATGTCACCTAAGATTCATTTTGGAAAGCATTATAATATTATACTACAGAATAATTATACTTTTAATATTAGGAGGCTCTCATTTATTCTCGGACCAAAAGCGATTTTATACCCGAACATCTAATTCTCCAGCTGAATTTTTCAGGAATAAAAAGTTCACAATGATCATGCTTTTAGTAAGATACATACTGCTTATCCTCGGCCCGTTCACTAATTAACCGTTTGTCATCAAATGACTACAAGAATCTGTTACGTATCACAGCCAAGTCATTTTTATTTGAAATAAAGAAATTATTTATTTATTCTTCAATTTGAATGTGAAATATATTTTAAAGTATGACGTAAAATTACAGAAATACGCCCCTCCCCCTCACTTCCTGGCATGAACTATTTACATTATTAAACGGAAATAAATGCGTATTACGGGATTAAGACGTTTGATGACAGTGACTATTTCCCGTCACCTGCATTGATTGCATCATCATGGGAAAACGGGATTGAGTCTATATTGAACTAATTAATTAGAAATCTACAGATATTTTTGTCTGCATGCTCATTTACCTCTAAGGGGTTAAAATATCAAAGAACTAGGACGTCGGTTTTTAGATAGGCTGTAATTATAAATGTATTGACTGCAGGGCCTCACCCGGGGGGGGGGGGTCACCATTCTTAGCACTTTTCAAGTGATTGCGGGGCTAGATTTGTCAAATATAAACCCCCTTGGAAAGTTTTGAAAGTGACCCCCCCCCATTGACAAAATGTGATTACGGTCCTGCACTTTTTACAAAGCTTTTAAAAACAGGTCGTGTAGAATGTAGACCCCCGTTGCTTGATATTTATAGCAAAAACATTGACATTTGAAAGTTTGTGACGCTGCGCTATTTTGAATAAACCTTATATCTAAGAAGCCTATCGGTTGAAAAAAATACCTAGAAGACTTAACATATTTCCCAATGTCATGCACCTATTAATTTAGCAATTGAATTATAATTATAAACTTTCTCTTGAAACAATAAATCTTCCAGATTTGATGAATTTTTGGACAAAATCGGCTACCCCCCCCCCTCCGTTCATTACTTCCGATCATCGGGCGTGATGTTGATTTATATAATTTGTTATGTTATGTTATGTTATATTTATTTCCATATTATAATTCTTACAATTGAATAACAATATATCTCTCTAAAATTAAGTTTGAAATAAACCGAAGAATAATCAGCAAGTCTGATTGAAAATACACATCCTGTAAAAGAGAGAAGAATTTAATCCGTCTGAATCTGATTGCAAAATATAAATCTGTCTCATTAGGAAATTAATCCCTGCTATTTAACTTGCACATAATCTAAAAGCTAATAGTCAAAAACCGGGGTCAAAAAGCTTATCACAATATAGTAGAACATCTTGACTTCAGATATAATTTTCTCATGAATTTTAAAAATCGGCCGAGAACTGATTAAGTAACATTCCGCACACGCCGTCTGATTGCATATTTGAAACGACAACATCCGATCTACTACAGTATAAATAATCCAATTGACTTTGATAGCATATATTTGTTTTCAGACATATTTTGTATTTGCGCCAGCTTCGACCCCCCCCCCCCTTCACGTGATGCCTTTCAAATCAATTCATTTCACAAATGACATAGAACTGCAAACGCCTGTTGCGTTTATTCCAAATGCAACAAGGCTAGCAGTTGAATAATAAAACAAGACAAATCAAAATCATCCAACATACGTATCATGCCGGGGTATCATGTAGTAAATTTCACCAGCCTATGACTTTTAAATACATTCTTTATATGTACCTGTATAGTAACTCCGGAAAATCAAGTATCATCAGTATTTTTAACAAACTGGGACTTTTGATGTGAACATCAATCATGATAGCAATATATGAGCAACGGTTTAGATTAAAACTGGGAAAAGCAGGCGGTCGCCGTCCGGGTCGCCGTATGCTTGACGCACGGCTAGTGTAACAATGTGAAGGGTAACAGCCCGCTTCCCCTATAACCTTGCCAATGTCCATACACGCTTCTGCTTTTTCAAATTTCGGATCACCTTTGGGATGGAGATAATATACATGTAGATTTGTTACTGGGGGGGGGGGGGGGGGGGGGGCACACAGAAACATTCGGGAGAAATAAGGGATTATCGGGGACTTATTTCCAAATCCACAGATTAGTGTCAAAAGCAGTTATTTACAAGGCTATGATTTTAAATGGATAATTGACTATTAAAACATGGGTTAAAGGCTAGTCCAAGTGCAGACCCGTACCAAGCTTATGTCATGTTATGTGGGGGGGGGCTGAACCCCGACAAGGGGGTTCACATTTATGATCAAGAAAGCAACGTCCGAGTTATTTGATATTCCTAACCACTTAAAGAGGTGAATGAGCAAAACCTCCGTTGATTTTTAATTAATAAGTTCAATATAGACTCAATCCCGTTTTCCCATGATGATGCAATCAATGCAGCTGACGGGAAACAGACACTGTGTCATCAAATGTCTCAATCCAGTAATACGCATTTATTTCCTCAAACTAAGATGAATATAACAGTTTCTTAAGAACAAAAACCGTAATCAGTTTTTATCAAGGGGGCTACTTTTCAAGAATCCAAGGGGGTTCACTTTTGAAAACTTGGGTCCTAAAAACCACTTGAAACTGCTCAAAATGGTGAAAAGTTTAAACTGTATGATTTTGGGAGATTTGATGGTCGTTGAGGGGGTCGTTCGGGTGTACGCATCATTTCCGCGATCTGGGGGGGGGGAGAACCCCCCAGATCCCCTTATACTCGCTCTGAAATTGGTCAGAATGCATCAAATTAAATTATGCTAAATTTTCGAAATTTGCTAGGGGAGAACCCCCCAGTTCTGGTCAGAATGCACCAAATGATGTTCAATTTTCGAAATTTTCTGGGGGGGAACTCAAACCCCCTATTCTCGCTCTGAAATTGGTCAGAATGCATCAAATTAAATGATGTTAAATTTTCGAAATTTGCCAGGGGAGAACCTCCCAGACCCCCATTTCTCGCCCAAAACTGGTCAGAATGCACCAAAGACGTTCTTCCCCCCGGGTTCTTCCCCCAGACCGGGCCCAAGATCCCCCTTTCTCGCGCTTGTTCGCTGGGGGGGGGGGGGAGGGGGTACTGTCGGGGGTGGTTCGAGCCCCCTTACAAAAAGCTGGCTACGGGCATGGACGCATCCCCCATGGGAAATTCCCTGTGTGTGCCAATGGGGTGCGCGTCCGAGGAGGGGCGTATATAGTCCACGAACATCCTAAATATTCAGAAGTATCATTTGATAAATTCGATTTTTATCCTCCTCTCTTATCAGTTTTCTAATCCTAATTGATTAATTCGAGTTTTGCTTTCCCCTCATCAGTTGTCTCCTTCATCTTTTTGTATTAATTATTTGTTTTCCCTAATAGTTATAAATATAAAAGGAGTTCTAATTTTGGTATGTTTTGGGAATTTGGTTTTGATGTTAACATGCAAGGGAATTATCTCCCACTCCCCCTTCTATTTTGTAGACAATATACAAGTTAAATAGCAGCGATTTATTCCGTGTTTGAATTCACTTTTACAGGATGTGTATTTTCAATTAGACTTGCTGATTGTTCGATCATTTAATTTATCTGAAGCCATTAGACAAAACAATGTTTCAATTTTTAGAATATTTTTTGGCTTATATCATTTAAATACACAATTTCTTAGTGAGTTAGATCCAATGGCTTCCCAAATCAGATTTCTATTTATCATTCCTCTCTTGAAACGGTCCGATTTAATTCAGTGTCGGGCCGAGGGCAAACCTTTGAATGATGAATATATGTAATTGTTGATATTTTGAACGTACATGTATCAAGTTTAGATTCAAGGTACAAAATAACCAGTTAAGGTTTTTTCCAAGAGGTAGATAGTTTTGAGGGAAAAGAGTACTGTATATTCAAAATCCGGATCAAAACAACATTATATTGTTATTTGTTGTCCAGTTCTACGTATTAATGCCGAATTATGCTGTTTGTTAGCAACATGATGTGGATTGATTTCTATATGGCAAGTTATTTTGATTTCAAAGGCCTATGGTAAATTATAGCTATTTATCAGAGATATCTAATATGCGGAATTAAAAATAGTACTTCATAAAACCTAACGCAACTCCATAGACTGCAATCAAAGCCCGGAATCAAGATAAGTCCCTTAAATATCCTGTCTGTGAAGAACCAAAAACCGCAATCAAACAAGTATTATGTGGTCTAGATTAATGATCAAGGAAATCAATTCGTGGGAATCATTATTATTGAGTTGATTGTATTTTTTGTTTACAAGAAAACGTTTCGTGCATATTGTACATTTAAGGCTTGCGCTAACCTGATATGTGAGTGTGTGGGGGTTTTGTTGACAGATCGCGATTTGGATCCCCGGGTTCGGATCATAAATTATTTTCACCAAGGCGCTTGCACACTCGTGTATCATTTGTCAGTCTGTAAAATATTCGTCATCTGTTATTAAAGTTCAATGCGTTTCTGAATCCCGCTATTTCATATCATAAAAAACTGCACGTAATGTCGTTAGTCATTTAGGCCTATATTTCGTAATTTATTCTTTAAGGTCTATCCGTTACACTTAATTTCTCAGTTTCTAAACGTTTCATTCAATTTTGCTATAAAGGAGATTGAAGACTACAATTAAAGTGTATGTTTTACTAATCTTTTAACTTTTTTAAAAGTATTGGATTTTTGGGAATAACGATGTTCGGAGTAATAGCGTGTCGCTCCCCCTCCCGCCCCCACTCATTTTTATGTGTTAAACCTCATTTGATTTTTCATCAATTATCGTTAAATCACACTCTTTAATACATATATAGCGTCCATTACTTATTGATCACCCCTCGTAAACAAATTCAAAATTATGTATCTTGGAGAAATAAAATATATATTTCATAATGAAAATATTAATTTATGCAGTTGGTCAGTATTGAATATTAAGTTTCACAGTCTGAAACCTCAAGGGCGGGAAATTGGATTAAATAAAACGAAATATAAATACTTAGTCACATCATATCAGTGCAAACAATTAACTACATTTATTTTTCTATGCGATATACACCTGATATTGATATCTTTCCTCTGACAATGTGTAATCTCATGGTCCGTTGACATCATCAAACTTGTGATTAACCAAAAGAGACCAAAAAAGATTGTAATACGCATCGCAAAAGTCAACAAATCTAACCGTTAAATAAACAAATTTAGTTGTTCGTCTGCTGGTCAGAACTTGGTATCCGATTCGGATACCGACTTTCTGAGAATACTAATGATATGTAGGATTACCAGCCGTGATACTTTTCATAAAACAGGCATCTAGTTAGAAAATTATTGCAATTTTGATTAATATCGTCATTCACAGTATAACCCGCCTATGTTAATTAAAATATGCATTATTCATAAAATGTATAGACTAATATCATCTTTTCACTCTTGATTTGAATTGGTATCTTGTATCTAAAGTTGTCTTCATCTATATTATTGGATTAACATGAGCCTATGATGTAACCTAAATATATAAATACTAGTTGCCAGTCTACAAATTGAACATACAAAATGTAGCATATTCATTACACACTATATTAATAGAACAAGGTAATCATGTCATACCAATAGTTAGACTGTTAACTTATATTAACACAAAAGAATAATACACGATAATTGAAAAAATAAACCTCGGTATTCGGGGCTAAAATCCAAGGATACCTGTACCATTACTCCAGGATACGCTGCAATACCATATCGGATACCTGTACCATTACTCAATAATAACCACAACTACGACCATAATAACAAGGTCAATACCGAGTTTATTGCAAGTTATTTTATACGATTTTGTCTTGTGTAACATGCAACAAAATGGTGAGTTAGGGTAATATGCAATATTAAATATGATATTTAATAAATAAAGATTCCTATATCATTCTATACTGGGGATATAAAAAAGCATGAGGGCATGGACTAACCCATACACATAATCTGGAAGGTAAAGCATGAGTGCATTATCAGAATGGGTTAGTACATGCACAAATGCTTTCATTTCCATTCAAACATGACCATGCTCTAATTGAATTTCTCAACCAGTCAGAATGCAGCATAGCCAATAACAAACGTTCTCTATTTCTCCATAGATGCACAACCGTGCATTATTCAATCATCCGGGTGTCTATATAACAGCAAGTATGGGTATTTTATGAACCCCAATCCTTGAATATGACACAGAAATTCAACTTTTATGTTCGATACTTTATTTCAGGCAGAGTATATCTTAGCCTTTGTTAACCATTGAATTGAAAATTAAAGGCTTAAAGTCAGTTTATGATTGAATATGGGGGCTATTTAGTGTGATTCCAATGTCAGCATATACCTTGTTTCTTTATGAATTATAAATCTTTTCATTGAAATTGTTGATTTTAATGAAGATTGTTAGAACTTGAAGACTATTGATCCAAATGGCATAAATACAGGGTGTCAAATAAATTTATTCTCCCCTCATTTAAACACCAACACAATGTTGCATAACTTTTTGTCTGCATGGTCATTGTATACATACTGTGTTATATGAAAACAAGTGGTGCAGATATCATGTATGCAAGATGGGATATTAATCCTCTTTTTTTAATGTGAATTTGTGATATTTCATAAACCAAGCAAGGCATGCTGGGTACCCGATCATAGTCACTCATTTGTAGAAAATACTTAATTTTGTTTTTAGTTCAATTTATGTGCACCTTGCACACTTGATATCCACACCGCTTGTTTTCGTATAGCACAGTCTCCATAGAGATTAATTGTTCTTCTGAATACATGTTTAAGAATAAGTCATCATTGAAAAACTCCACAAGAAGTTTCAGATGAGTAGTCCAACCTTCTGTCCCGGCAATAAATTTTTACCTATTGGCCCAATTTTGATTTTATTCTTTTCATACCATTTTAGGCAATTTAGTTTTATTCTTTTTTTCCAGGAATATGAGATGGAGTTGGTTCTTTACAATACCTGGCAAGTTTTATCAACCCCAATGAGACACTACCATGCAAGAAAATGGTGAGTTTAAATAATATGCAATCTTGTATGTATTGAAAATAGTGCTGAAATGGTGGCCTAATTTCAATCTGGTTGATTTGATTAAAATACACATTTTCATTGAATCAAGATCTGGTTATTGAATATTAATGTAGTCATTAGTAATTTTTCTTCTGAAAATCTTCTATGTAGTCTTTTCTACATACATTACAAGGCAAAATATTGGATGGATTAATCTAAGCTGACTACTTATTTGTTACCATTTGCCACTTTACTGGAAAAGTGAGGAATTAACTGTTCTGCAGAATATGGCATTTTATATTCATCCATAGATTTTATTAAAATGGTGAATGAAATTATAATGAAATAGAATTAATATACACTGTATTTATGAATTTAGATTTTGTTTTTAGCTCACATGGTGAGCTTTTGCAATCACTCACTTGTCCGTCTGTCTGTCCGTCTGTCAACAATAGTTGCACGCTTTAAAACCTCTGACGATAGAATTCCGCTTTTAAGTTATTTCTGTTCAACATCAATACAGAAAACTCCCCTATGACTCCTGGTTCAAAAGCTCGCCTATTTTCAAAATGGCCGCTATTTTTTCCCCGCGAAATTCACTTTTGACACATTTCCTAGCTTTACAAATAATTTCAAGTGTCTTGCATTGTAAAAATCCATGTCAATGTGAAAAGTAGTTGTATGAAATAATTTTGTTACAAATAATCGGCAAAAAATTATATCCGTTTTTTTATTTTCAGCCATTTTAGTTAACATTGATTTGTCCACCTGTCTTGCAAAATCCACTTTTTGGACCATTTGCCTTAAAACCTCTGTTGATAGGATTCCCGTTTTAAGTTATTTTTGTTCAACATCAATATAAAAACTCCTCTATGACTCCAGGTTCCAAATCTTGTCTACTTTTTAAATGGTCACCATTTTAGTATCGCGAAATTCACTTTTGGCCCATTTCCTAGGTTTACAAATAATTTCAGGTGTCCTGCATTATAGAAAGCCACGTCACTGTAAAGAGTAGTTGTATGAAATAATTTTGTTACAAAAAATTTGCAAAAAATTCTAGCTGCTTTTTTTATTTTCAGCCATTTAGTTAACATTGATTTGTCCATCTGTCTCGTGAAATCCTCTTTTGGACCATTTGCCTTAAAACCTCTATCCATAGGATTCCTGTTTTAAGTTATTTCTGTTCAACATGAATATAAAAAACTGCCTTATGACTCCTAATTCAAAATCTCGTCTACTTTTAAAATGGTCGCCATTTTCGTCTCGCGAAAGTCACTTTTGGCCAATTTCCTAGGTTTACAAATAATTTTGGGTGTCCTGCATTGTAAAATCCCATGTCTTTGTAAAGAGTAGCTGTATAAAATAATTTTGTTACAAAAAGCCTACAAAAAATTATATCAGTTTTTATTTTATTTTTTTTGTTGTCATTTTAGCCATCATTCACTTTTTAGCAACACCACGTGAGCCCAGTACCCACGGTACTATTTTTTTCATTATGGTTGAGGTCACTTTTTTTATCTCTTAGCATAAGGACACAGAAAATCAACTTTTATGATCTGTACTTTATTTTAATATTATCCCATCGAACAAAGATTGGGGATATTTTGAATGCCACAGTTCTCTCCATCCATCTGTCTGGGTAGTAGCTTAAACACTGATAGCCCAATAATGCTTTTATTTATATTCATAAACCCTATCTGAGTACAAGTTCTGCTTTAAAATTTATTTAAAATGGCTTTAATCCTAGTATTAAGTATATGTTATAACATGTAACAAAAATAACATCACACTACCATACCCCCATACTGTAGCCTGTTTCCCTTTAAAATGATTACATGCTACTTTAGAGTTGCAAATGGAAGACATTTGTTTTTTCCATTTTTTGATGGTATGCTAGATTTTTCATATATTCCAAGTGTTCTGCTATGCTTTGTATATATTCATCTAGCAGTTTGCAGTATAACCTCAAAAGCCCTACAGAAAAGATAGAAAATGCCCGCTCCCTTTGCAACTTGATTGTAACCTGCATCCCTTTTAAATGTGGTCATGTGGTAGGGTAGTGTGTACATATGTTATTGATAGAGCAAGTACGCCAACATAAAAGTTGTCCAACAATATTAGTAGAGAGCTTTCGATATAAGTTATTTGGTCAACTTGCACGTAAACTTGTACTTTTAAATAAAAATATAGGGTGTTACATAATGAAGGCTATTCTTAAAAAATATCCAGATGTCGGACAGTAATACATCGTTCAAATGCAAATTATTTGTAACATTTAAACTGTATTTATTACCACATGTGACTACCACACCAGATCTCGTGCTCTAAAATGAAATAGGAATTCCTATATGACATACACATTATTAGTCTATCATATCTCCATTTGACTTTGGAGGTGAACATTATAAAACACCCTGTACAAATAGATACTTGTGTCCATTGGTGGACACACATGAGTATGTTAGTGTTTGTATGTTTGCATCCAGTCTATAAGTTTACAATCATTGTATATATGCCTATTAATACGTTCTAAACTTATATTTCAACTTACACATATATAAGAACTGTAAAATAATTCACTGTTTCCTCTGATGAGTCATGTTAAAGGGTCTTGTGTGTAGAACACCACGCCACAAGAGCTAGGTATTGAGTTGATAATGTACAGATTACAACGCTGCGACAGATATTACATTCACAGTCACTGCATTGATTGATGAATGAGGTTTATAATTCAAATAGATTTTAGTGTGATAAGACCCTTTAAACTACAAGTTTACGTATACATTTTTGAAAAACTTTTTATCGAAAGCTGTCTAGTATAGATCTTCTCAGGATTCTGAACTTGAGATTGTATTTCAACTTTGTTACATTTTTATTATATTTTAAATTTCAAAATCCTCCTCCAATTGAGATTAAAGTCAAAATCACATTTTAAGGTCGAAATTTGAGTCAGCTCAAGTGTACAAAAAGTCGGGAAGCTAGAACCATAAATTGTTATCTTTCGGCAATAATAAATTTTGTCTAGCAAAGTTGTACTAATAATATGTTCAATGGGATTTGCTACGCCTCCGCGTTGCAGTTATTTAGTTGTAAAGTTTTGCGTTCAAATAAACCACCTTGTTTTCCTTTCAGGCAAGTTATGCCATCTGATCGAGTTGAAGAGGCAAGGAGCTCCGAACAATATTGAAATTTGTCAATTGATCTACTTCTACACAGAGTATGGCATAATCAATGGCCCATTAGGACAATGTCCCCAAATGTTTACTCTATGTTTACTACATAGATCAGAGTGTTTCAATATAATAAGACAATAACATGACATGAAAATAACATAGTCCATAATTAAGTTTTCATATGTATAACTTAAATTCTTTAGGGTCTGCTTTTGTCTCTTAGAGACATTATATTTTAATTGCTGCACATTTAGGGTATATTATTGTATTTCTAAAAATGTTGTCAAGTGATTTTTGTTTAAAAACACCCACTAAATCATCAAATAGTAAAAATGCAGTCAGAAAAAGTCCACGACTAATAAGAGAACAGCATGTTAGAAATAGCCCAGGAGTCGTCACAAAAACTGTTGAAGAAGAAAATACTAGCCCAGAAAGTCCAAAAAGAAAAATTCCGAGAAACGAAACCCAATTAAGAAAGAGTCCCAGAATCCAAAGAAAATATGCAGAAGAAAAAAGTCCTCTGAGAAAAAGCCCCAGAATAATTAAAAAAAGTTTGGAAAGTGAAAATAGTCCAGAAACACCTTCAAGAAAAAGCCCTAGAGTATCAAGAACAACAGATCATCCACAGCAACTAAGAAGATCTCCAAGAAAAAGGACACCAAGCAAGAGGGCAACAGCTAAGCGGAGGGTATCATTAGAAGAATTGGGTTTGACAGGAAAAAGACGTAACAGTTTAGTCCATGAAGGCGAATGTACAAAATGCTCATTATGCAGAAAAGAAGAACAGGAGATGTATCATATTAAAAACTGGACTGCTGTCTTCCATATGTGGAATGATGCGAACTCGAGGTACCAAATGAATGACTGTTATTGTTCACATTGTATTGGTATTATAAGAAAGCAATTTAGGGAAAGAAAATCCCAACAAAGAATCGAAAAGACAAAAGAAGTAAAACGATGTGTTATATGTGATCAGGAAAACACAATACAGTTTGAAGTAAAGGATCACAATCAATTTACAGAATGCTTCAGTCGAAAATCTCCAGCAGAACAGGTATTTCTCTGTAAAAGACACTATCAAAAGATTAAGAATTTTGCAAATAGGAAACTGTGTCCAGTATGTCAGATGGTTCTGAGGGTAGGTATCCCAAGGAAAAAATGCCCCGTTGATACCGATATCGCAACTACCTTTATTTCATCCTCCATGGGAAAGTTTGTGACACTTAGTCCTGATGATTTGATGTGTAAGGCATGCCACGACAAAATACTAAAAGGTACACCTAATGAAATATTGTTAAGGAATATCCAAAACCTGAAGCAATCAACTGTAGAACATGACCCCAAATATGCATTATACTGCACAGCAAGCAAAATGGCAACCATCTTTCAGAACAAGAGAGCATGTTTACTAATTGATATGCTGGATGTCTACCATGCATCATTGCCAGATGATAGTATGGCAAGATCTACATCTGTATGGCTGTTGTCAGAACTGATGAACATTTTTGGGGATGGACTAAAGTCTGCAAGAATGCATGCAAGTCAATGTAGCAAGCTATTGTTCTTTAATGAAATATCATGTGAAGCTCTCCATGAAGCTCTCTACAACATAAGGCAACTGCAGACCCAGAGCAGGGAGTTGAAGGAGGAAATCTCAATACTACGGAAAAGAATATCATCATCTAATGATTCTAAAGAAATCACACCCAGAACAATTGTTGATGTATTAACACATGTCAATAAGCACTTAAAGTCTGCATCGAAACATATTGAAGCAGTGTATGTCAATGATCCATCTCAAATCACTGAACTAAACATGGATATGATATTGAGGCACATACCGTGCAATGTTTTTAACTTCATCAAAATGTTAACAATGAATGGACCAGAGAAAGAATGCCTACCTGATACCATCCATGTTGACCTTGATACACCAATAGAATTCGAGGCAGGAGCAGTGGCTAGCCGAAAAGCAAAACGTGTATTTATAACAAGCACAGTCATGAACATCATCAACAGTAGGTGCACCTATCCACTTCCCATTGTCGTTGCAGAAACTGTGAAGAAAATAAGTGGATCTCAACAACTTGTATCCATCTTGAATAAGATGGGATTTTGTTCATCTGAAGATTCCAGACTTGCCTTTGAACAGTATAGCAAGGAGAGAAAGCAATCAACTCCAATAGGAAAACAATTAGATGAAAACTTACTAACAGTGATTACTCTCGACAATCTAGATGCTCTTAGTCCATGGGCTATGGTTACCTCTGGAGTTGACAGAAGTGGTTGGCATGGTACAACAATTTGTGCTTTGCAGCCAAGGTTTTCTGATAATCTATGTGAAGGTGACCGTGCTATCAGCATGGAAAACAATGGTTTGAATACACTGATAGATGATGAAGAAGATGATCCAGATACATATTCAAAAGTACAGGTTTATGGAGACGGTAGATGTCTATTCAGAAGCATAGCCACACTTTTGTTATCACCATTGCAGGAAACTCCCAGGCAAGAAGGAATGCCAACTTTGGAAGAGATGCGAATACTTGAGAAGGAGTTGGCAGATGACATACGGTCACACACAGTCGAATTTCTGAGGGACCAGCAAGATGTATTACAAAACCTCCCAAATGTTACTAAAGAAATACTGCTTGAAAGACACCTCTCTGCAAATTATACATCCTTTGGCCAAAGGTTGGATGATGTGGAACAATCCAGTGTATATGCTGGAACTCTTGAGATTATAGGAATCTCGAAATTATTACAATGCCCTATACATTTATATCAGCTGAAACCACTTGGCACATGCGCGCAAGTAGCAATTCATCCTGATTGTTACACATCTGAGCCACTACTTATTTTGAGTAAACCTGATGTAAGAGGCAGTGCTGGTCACTATGATGCCTTGATAAAAAACCACCATCAAAGAGGAGTGAACTTCAGATCTAGCAATGCTGGTTTTGTGATTCAGAAATGGAAGGAAATCAATGAAATTGAGCATCCAAACATTCCATTTGAAAATCACTTCAACATAATAAATGTTCAAAAACGTGGAAAAGAAACCCTAAGGTTATACGATCACGCGACACATTTTGAACAAACACATCGGACTGAGACAATAAATGCAAGAACGAAAGCAAAAAGAAAACCTAGCATTAACAAGACTGTACAAAAACCAAGGCAAGAATTTGTTACATTGCATCCTGCAACAAAACCAATCTTTGACAAACAAAAACTTACATTGGAAAAGTTTTTTTGTCATGGTGAAGAAATAGTTGAACTTACGGCATTCAGGGAAACTGTATTTCAGTATATGTACATGAAGAAAGAAGTAATATACTGCGTTAACAATGAGCATCACTCCCTACTGCCAAACCTAAAATGCACATTGGCAAGAAAAGGCATTGGAAACTGTGAAAAGTCTTCATTTTTATATCTTGACGTGCTCAATGAAAAGGCAGATTCGAAACCTACAATTAGACGTGTTTTGATGAAGATATATGCTGACTTCAAGATATGCAACAAGTTGAATCACATCACTGTGGTTGGGGATGCCAAGACATATGATTATGTTGTGAAGCTGAAGGAAGAGTATGGTGAACTCCTTGATTGGGTAATCCCCTTCCTTGGGGACTGGCATGCACTAAAGAACTATCAGCCGGTAATCATGAAGATCTATTGGGATGCAGGACTAAAAGAAATTGCAGAGACAACTCACAGAGGCGCCACATTGACATCACTAGCTGGAACAAGCTCTTTCAGAAGAACTCATCATTTTCTGATGCAAGTGTGGGAGGCATTGTATATATATCAAATTCAGTTGTATGAAAAACAAGATAGAGATGTTAGTTCAATCAATGAACGTGTTTGCACAATCTTTGAAGACTTTGCTCACACAAGAAGTGGTGACTACACACCACGTGTAGAGAGTGTTTTGAAAGAAGTTGAATCACTCGGTGAAGAGTTCAATGTATACTGCCATGAACTATCTTCTGTCAGTGAACAATTTCGGTTTTGGGATGATTTCCTAAAAAAAGACATGATGTACTATGCCAGCCTATACATCGGCATGCGATCCAGAAATTGGAATCTTCGTAATGCGTCCCTAAAGTCAATGGTGATTAATTTCACTGCATTTGATCGCCATATGTATGCTAGACTAGTGCCAAAGCATTTGGCAGACTTATCTTCCCTACCAGATGATGTTGTTCAGCATTATAAAGAAGGCTCGTTCGCAGTAAATATGAAGGGACGAAAGATGGCTAATTTAGGTTTAGACGAGGCCCACGAAATGACCATAAACAAGGACGTAAAGGCTGTGCTCCATAGAGTAAATCCAAAGACTATAGAAACAATTGCTGACTACTTGGCAACAAGTGCTAAAATTGTTAAAAATGTCAAAGAAATAGTTGGTTTAGAAGAGGATGATTCGGAAGACTACCAAAGAGATGATACCCTTTCAGTAATGGAAAGGGAAACAAAGAACATCAAAACATACTTGGTGAAAGTTGGTGAAGGAGATTTCTTCGAAAAAGAGGATCTTGCACACCCTTTCACAAAAGAGAAAGCTGATCAGATCCAGAAGCAAGGTCTTTTACACCATGAAAGAGTTGGACAGGAGGCTTTCAAATTACTTGTTACTAGTAAGTTTCTTGAGGCTTCAAGCACAAAAGTCATTATGAAGAAACAAAAATTGAAGACCTTCAGTAAAGGACGAGTAAGTAAGTCCAAGATGAAGCAATCTGAAAAGGACAAACAATTAGTCGTGACCTGTTATAAACGAACGATGGCGCTGTCACAACAACAAAACAAGCCAGTGAAAGAGCTTATGCAATATCTTGAGACACCACGTGCCATTTGCACCCCAGATGGTTTACCATTCAAAGGAACAAAGAGTACAATAAATGGAATCTATCAAAAAAGATATGGAAGTGAAGCAAATACAAATGCTCCCATTATAATTGACATGTTACCAATAACAGATGACCCAAGTACAATAATCCTAGAAGGAATGAACCTGATTTATACATCTCCCTTGCCTTTACATAAAACCTTCAAAGATTATGGCGCTTTCTTCCTAGCACGCATTGTAACCTACTTCAAACGTCGAAAGTTTACATTTGTGCATCTCCTTTTTGACCAATATAAAACACAAGGTGAATCGCCAAAAGAAATTGAGAGAGAAAGGAGAACAGGTGACGCAGCTGTTGGAGAGCTACTGGAAGTGAATGACAATACACTTATACCAGCAGTTAAATGGACTGACCTGATCAGACCAGACTCAAATAGAAGAGCTATACTGGATTATCTCTCGAGATACTTGATGGAAAATGCACAATCTTCCCTTATTGGAGAACAAGCACTTATTATAGGAGGAGGATTTTCTGGTGAATTGACCAAACAAACCGTCTGCATCACACTAAATAGTATCAACATTGAATACTTGGAGACAAATCAAGAGGAGGCAGATATCACAGTTTGGTTGCATGCAGAGAAGGCACTGACTGAGAATGTAGTTATCATGTCTAAGGATTCTGACATCAGTCAAGTTGGTTTGCCATTAGATATTGAGAAAAAAATTTGGATTCTCTTTAAAAGCAAGGAAACAGAAACAAAATACATCGACATGAGTGCCTTAAAAAGTGCAATAGCCAAAGATCCATGTCTATTGCCACTGAGGGAAGCAGGGATAGATTATTATAAAGTGCTGCAAATAATATACATCGTGTCTGGTTGTGATTATTTGTCATACTTTGTAGGTCAAGGTAAGGGGAGTTTTTTTAAACTCTTCTTTGCAAATGTGAAATTCATAACTCTTGGAACATCAGATGAATGTGGAAACATCTGCCAGACGAGTGAAAGTGACAGGCATAAAGGATTACTTTCTATGTACAGACTCATTGGATGTGTGTATTTTGCAGCTAATAGAGCTGCATTATACCAATTTGACTCACCACAAGACTTGTTTATAAGATCAGCCAATAAAAAAATCAACATTAGGCAACAACATTCCAGGTTCCTTTCTGAGATTAGAAAAGCCTCATGGAAAGGAACATTTGAGGATGAATTGCTACCCTCAGATTTTGCTCTCGAGCAACATTGGCGAAGGGCTTGCTGGGTTGTTGAAGTTTGGAAGAAAGCGCTTGTACCAAATTTCCAATATCCATCGATTTTGAGTCACGGATACACAAAGGACAATAATGACACAATTTCATGTGTTTGGGATTCCGAAGAGAATGTCGAAAAAGTCAGGAGAAATGTTCTCTTCCTTACTCGAGGCTGTGCCTGCAAAAGTGGCTGCAAGACAAGGAGATGCAAATGTAACAGCTTCAATAAAGAATGTGGACCTGGATGTAAGTGCAAAGATTGTAAAAATCCTAAAGGATCTTGTACTTTACAAGTCGATTTCCAGTCTGATTCATCATCGTCTGAAGATGAAACGATACATTCTGATTCGGAAAATGATGACCTCCCAACAGAATTATGAATACATTGACTATAGCAAATAGAATGTAGATGAAAAAAGCTTTGAGACCAACATTGCATATATTTACATCATTACATATAACAGTCCAAGGATGCAAACCCTGATACCTGGGCTATTTACAAACATTTCCATATATTTAAGAGTAAGTTATTTTAAGAGGAGTTTAGGTACAGTTGAAGTCATCCTCAAATTGCATAATAATCTGTAAATAACACAAGTATATACATGTAGTGATTTTAGACATAGAAAAAACATGTACATTTTTTAAATCATTGCTCATTGCATAGAACTTTAGAACAGTCCAAGGATGCAAACCTTGGTATCTGGAAGATGTAAGTGCACTTCAGGCCATCCACAATTGCCACATAGGCTGTGAATAGATTAATACATACATAAGGTAATTTTAGATCAAGAGAAAACATGCATATTTAAAATAATTACATAGAACAGTCCAATGAACCAAACTGTATACCTGGACCATTCACATGTAAGAGCAGAGTGTATTTACGAGGAATGTAGCTACACTTGAGGACACCCACATATTACAATTACAAGTTGATACTAAACTGTAAATGTTTAAGAGTCATTTTAATTATACTTTAGGCCATCCACAAATTTGATAATAAGCTGTAAATAATATTAATATATAGATAAAGTGATTTTAGACATAAAAAACAATGCTTATTCTTATATCATTACATGGGACATTGTGGAATAGTGCAAAGCATGATAGCTAGAAAATTCATATACACCTAATACAATTACATATGTTAAAGAGTAGAGGTTATTTAAGAGTAGAGTAGGTACTCTTCAGATGATCCAGAAATTGCATCATAAGCTGCATATTAGATTACTATACACATATTTAGGTGATTTAAGACAAAAAACAGAGATAAAAGAAATCCATATGTTTATACCATTGCATTGGACACTGTGGAATATTCCTTGAATGCAAACTGAGACCTGGAGTATCCATATTCACAATTGCATATATTTATGAGTATAGGTTACTTGAGAGTGGTGTAAATACACTCTAGGCCATCCTAAAATTGGATAATAAGCTGTAGATAAGATTGGTATATACATAAAGTGATTTTAAACAATGCTTATTTTTATATCATAACATGGGACAATGTAGAATAGTCAAAGGATGCAGTAATTCCTGGACTATTAATATTCACATACAATTCCATACATTTATATTTAAGAGTAGAGGTTACTTAAAGAGTAGTATAAGTATACTTCAGGCCACCAAAAAGTTGGATCATAGGCTGTAAATAAGATTACTTTACATATTTAAGTGATTTCAGACAAAGAGAAAACAATCCATATGTTTGTGTCATTGAATGGGACAATGTGGAATAGTCATGGATGCAAACTGATACCTGGACTACATGTATTCATATTCACATACAATTCCATACATTTATGAGAAGAAGTTACTTAAGAGTAGTGTAAATACACTCTATGCCACCCAAAGATTGGATAATAAGCTGAAGATAACATTTATATGTACATAAAGTGATTTTACACAGAAAAGGCATATTTTTATATCATTGCATGGGGAACAGGCCAAATATGCAAACCCTAACACCTGGAATATTCACATAATTTATCACTATTTGATACTCTGGACTTCCAAAAAAATATATTTTGGTCAATAATATACTCTAGATGTGCAGCTTACTCAAATAAATGTAACATGATTGAACTATCTGTAATATTTAAAGGGTAAATATGCTTGTATATACAGATATATACATTTTATAGTGTAAGGTTAGAGTGCACAATTTAAAAATCCAACATGTTTTAACAAAATGTGCTGGTATCCAAAGGTGATTACATTATTCTGAGTACTCTACTGTAACATGATTTTTGTGCAATTTGATCATTTGTATTTATTCGATACTAGTATACTAGTAGTATCATTTTCTAGTGTGTGAAGATTTAAATTAATACATAAGGATCATGATATATAGAGTAGGCCCAAGTTCAAGCAATACCAGTAGTAGTTCACCATATCTTATACCTTTTGGTAGAGAAAAATGACAATGGTAACAATTTCAAATGCTTTAAAATGTATATGCCACAACAAAATATACTAGTCTCCATCCACTTTTTATTATGTATTTTGTAGTGTACTAAAAATGTTTTGTTTTTTATTTATTATTGTATGACATTTCTAATGTAGGTTTTATATTCATCACAGAATGGTAACAATACCTATATCCAAGCAATATTAGTTTTCCATACAGTTATATGAAATCAAGTTTGACAAAGTGCACAATTTCAAATATTTCATTTGAACAAAATATGCTGGTCTCTATTTAGTAGTAAATTGTGTTTGTTATTCATTCAGCTTATTTATTGTGTTTATTGTGTAAAATTTTATTTTGAAAGTTAAAATTAAAAACATATGAGGATAATGATATGCATATCAAAGCAATAGAATTCTTTCAGTGTGCCACTTAATAGCTTAACTTGTAAAAAGAAAGGACATATTGCACATTATCCTACACTTAGTGTAATAAATGTAAAATAACATTAAAAATGAATTTGACATCTATTGACAAAAATAATAACTGGGAGATATCGCCAATATATACTCCAGAAAACAGAGCTGCAGAGGATATTGTGAAGATATACTCCAGAAAAACAATATGCGGAAGATATTGTGACTATTTAAATTGAACTATTTGACCTGAAATTTGTTTTTCAATGATATTATACATTTAGCACCCTACTAGTAAGAGTGTAGGATAATAGGAACATCCTATGACTTATTCAGAATATCATATTATCTACTCTTTGATATTGTTATATACACTAGGGACAGTATTATTTATTTTGAATATATTTATTCATATGTATAGATATTAGTATGTAGTGCACATATGTGGAGATCTGGATGTTGCTCAGGAACAAGGCACTTTAAGCCTGATACAGAAACAGTATTAGTTTTTTGTTCAAATATTAGTATAAAAATATGTAGTTGTGTATGCTGTCCATTTTATATAGTTAACAATAGATTAGAAATAATGTTTTTATTACCAATAATATATTTTTCTTGTTTATTATTTCTTTAAGGCAGTTTCCCAAGTTAGCAGAGTGGAAAATCAAAGCAAGACTAATGTCATGAATGTGTAAATAAAAACTGAATTTTTAAAAGAAAAAAATTAAAAACAATACTTTTGGCATATATTTATACAAGAGTATCCAAGATTAAATGGAAATTAACTTTTCCCAGAGAAAACTCAATATCTAGTCCTAAACATATAGAAAGCTTATTGTTATCAGGCCTGAATATTTATTTTGTTCACCTCTAATAATGTCCAAATACAGGCATAAAATATTGGATTTCATCATTGACTTTCAAGTTTGCAAATTCCCTGATTTCATTCATACAGTAATTGCATATGCCTGGAAACATGATTGTATAAAACATGAAGCACCTCTTTTATAGTTCAATGTAAGATAATCCCATATGAAACTGCTTCAGAAATCATTTACATATATATCAAAAGGTAATATCATCTTGATTGTAAGGCAAACATGCCTTGTCACTTGTCATATAAATAGCTTTCAATGTTACCTATTATCACCCACGTTTTTTTCAAAAATAATATTCACTATTTTAATTTAAATATGTAAAAATAAAACAGGAAATTTACTGAGGTTATTTTGGGGTTATTTCAATGAATATATCAGAGATAGTCCTATCATATTGCAACATTGAGTTTGCACACTGGGTTTCCGATATTATTTATTTATCCGGGTGGTCTTTCTGTACTTTAAAAATCAGATAACCGGAAGCGAGCGAACGAAGCTTCAAAACATTAAGCGTGTATTCTACTGTATTTTCATCACCAAATAACATAAAAGTAGCACTTTAGACGTACTTTTGGACGCTCTTTCGATCTAGGTAGGTGAAAACATTCACAAACTTGTCAATCGACCTGAAAATGAGCAATTTCTTTGTCGAAAAAATGCCTCAATTCAACTCCTTTTTTCGACTTTAAATATCGATAGAGTTTTAATAATTTGCTTCAAAGCAAAAGATAGCTCCATTCCAAGTCGACTGACAACGCTATTAATAATCACACATGCTGTCATTCATTCATAATTAGTGGATTTTGGATGCGTACACTTCCGGGTTAATCCAAAGTTGACAAAATCAAATTCACTTCCGGAAATGCGCAGTGGGCCAAAATTGGTCGTAACATCTTGACTGTAATAATGTAAATGCACACATGAACCTACATGTACGCAGTTATGAAATATACAATGATTAAAGTCAGTAAACAGAGATTTATCCTGTTTAGTACGATTTGACATGTTATAGTTAAGCTACTATCCATTGCACATCTATCACACCAGAATAGCCTGACAACGGTAAAGCCAGATACCTTTGTCACAAATGGCGGACATAACCGTCACTTCAACTCTTTAATCACTTGGTCCTCATTTCATGGGACTTAATCGTCGCTAATTTTGTGCATGTATTAAGCTCTTGTGATGATGTATCATTTGAAATCCCATTTTGATAAAATTGGGTCGTGAATCGCCAAAATCAGCGTTTTCGATTAAGTCCATGACAACGGAATCTGAATTTGAAATAATTTACAAAGACAACTGCCTATGGTAGTACAGTGTATCTGACTTTACCGTTGTCAGGCTATTCCCGTGTGATGTGTGTAGGTTTATTGCAGAACTGACTGCAATTTGCTCATTTAACATGTGAATAGGTCAATACATTTACATTACTCAGTTACTGAAATACGTATAAAATTCTAGATTGTTAATATGCAGGCATATAATTTATAATATATAAAAAGATAAATATGTATACAATATAAACAATTATAAAATTGATGTATGTACAAATAGACTATAAATGCATTTGAACTCCTTAATACATTATTTGTTTTAGTACTATAATATGTGACATTAGTACTATTTAGTAATAATAGATGCGTGATATATAATGATACATACATGGTATGGTAGATACAGGGTAACTGGTCAACTCGTACCCAAGACAAGTCGTACCCAAGACAAGTCGTACCCAAGACAACTCGTACCCAAGACAAGTCGTACCCAAGACAACTTGTACCCAAGTATATATTTTGTTTTGAATCAAGCATTGGACTGGGAATGTGAATAGATATACATATTATAATTGTAACATACTGTTCAGAATAGTTTAAAGTTTGAAGAAGAATTTTCGGAAGAAATTGATTTAATTTTATGACATTTTGAGCTGAGTGTCAATTTATATTGACTATTATTTTATATTGGTCACAGATTCAGGATGTTCAAGTGAAGAGACATATGTTTATAATCATTTTTCAAAATATTGTATGTTTATGAGTGTTTGGGACAAGTGTCAGATCTAACGTTGTAATTATATTTATTTATATATATGTTTGACAAAAAATTTTTGAGAACAAGCGCTTCAAGCACTTCTTTTATTTAATAAAAAAAATGCTTTACTGATCCATTGAGAAAAAATGTCGTCTAAATTCAAAAAAATATTGAGGCTTATTTGATTCACCTTATAACATGAAAGCATTACAAACTCAATTTCTTCCCTAATATGCACCCATAATACTGAAAATAAGCTTGGGTACGAGTTGTCTTGGGTACGAGTTGTCTTGGGTACGAGTTGTCTTGGGTACGAGTTGACTAGGAAGCAGATACAGTACAGGCTGCTTCTTTTAACAAAACATTTCAATTTTTCTCAAAGATTATATTACTGAACATTCTCTTATTTGAATTATTATAGCTTTATAGAAGTATAATGCTGCTGCCCTTTGACAAATATGACATGCCACATGTCCATTTTCTACAGACGTTGAATGCCAACCACCGAACACAAACTGTTGAACACTTTCCAGGTTATAATGAAAACACGCGCTACGCGCTAACGCGCTAGCGCACTAACGCACTGTTCAGAATGATCGGTCCCACAGGCCCGGGAACATGTATAAAAATCAAGTGAGTGAAGAGATTAGGTGGCGCATCAGAAAGCAGAAGTATGAAGAAGCCCAATGTTTGATCGTTAACTGTGCAAATATTATCGATTGTCAGTGTGTTTTATCTGATTTAAAAGGAAGATAAATAGAAAGTAGCACCTTACAAGATGAATAATGGTCGCAGATATGCGAATATGCTTCCTATTTCATTGCATTATTTGGGTCCATCCATCGGCGAGAAAAATCGTCGACTACTTGACTAATGACTTAATATAATGTTTATTTGTCGCATGTTACCTCTTAATATCAAGTCATAGATGTTTTATATATCTTTACTCTTTGTATTTGAAGTTATATCTCACGCATTTATATTTTTCCATTTTCTTTTCGTGCCCGGTTACACTCTTTAGCTTTCATGGGGGGGGGTGTATAGGGTTATCGTATAAGAGGAGGGTGAAAATCTATTGTGTATGACTGCATATAAGAGGGGGCAACATTTATCGTATATGGCATCATATAAGTTAAATAAACATATGTTTTAAAAGAATTAAAGAAGCCTATTATGAAATTTAAAGTACAGTTTGAACGAATACTGCAGATCCAGCTTATCCCCATAAATTTGGGATTTCAATACACAAGTAGTTGTTGGGGCTTAATGCCCGTAGCCAGCTTTTACCAGGAGGGGGAGCCTTTTTCCAGGGGAAGCTATTTCACAATTTTGGCTAATAATCATGAAAAAAATTCTCAGAATGGTGAAAAACTGCATGATTTTGAAAGAATCTCTGGCCAGAGGGGGAGCTCTGCTCCCCCAGCTCCCCCTCTGGCTACGGGCCTGGTTGTGACCCATTTATGGGGGTAATCCAGATCTCTATATAGTAGTCTCTATATGTCATATGCCAGGACAGTCACCAGGATTTCCCAGGGGGGGTCACTTTTTCAAAAATTCCAAAGTCACCCTCCGAACTATATATGTCACGATATAGGGACAATAAAGTAACGATAAAGTAACGTTTTATTGGCAAAGTACTGTGTTTTGAAAATGCTTAATATAAAATCATCCATTCTTCGAGGAGAAAAGTTAAAGTCCAATAAAGTAACGTTTTTAAGGCAAAGTAACGTGTTTTAAGAATGCCTACATAAATGCCTACAAAAATCATCCATTCTTCGTAGAGTATGGTTAAGTATCATACATAAATGCCTACATAAAACATCATCTATAGTCATGTTTGACTTTCCATAATAACAAAACGAAAAAACGGTACTTTTAAAATGTCAATATTTTCTGTCCCTATATCTTGACACTGTTGCTCCGAACCCCCCTGGCTTCGGGGCTGTGTACTGCCTATTTGCCGTATGATTATACATTTGGTACTACGTGGATTCTTGCATTATGTTATTTCCTTCTGAATATCATCCAAACTTTTCTCAACGGTAATTTCAAAATTATCGTACAGATATATTATTTACCTGAGCTTTTTGTAAAATATTACAAGAACACAAATGTGTACAAAATGTCCCCACCAAGTGGTGATCCCGTGAAATGGATATCCTGAAAATGAGTAGACAAGACTTTACCAACACAATTTGAGGACAGAAAATCCAAAGTGGCCACCTTAAAATTTACCCAGAATGCCAAAAATTTAGTCAGTTCTAGATTTTCATACTAAGAACCACCCCTGAAAATTTGAAATTGATCCGTCACACAGTTAACCAGAAAACATGTAAACAAGACTTTACAGACAAGATTTCAGGATGGAAAATCCAAAATGGCTGCCTTGACATTTACCCAGAATGTCAAAAAACTAATCTGTTTGTAGATTTTCATACTAAGAATCATCCCTGAAAATATGAAATTGATCTACCAAACGGTTCACCTGAAAACGGGTAGACAAGACTTTACAGACAAGATTTTAGGACAGAAAATCCAAAATGGCTGCCTTAACGTTTACGCAGAATGCAAAAAAAGTAATCAGATGTAGATTTTCATACAAAGAATCATCCCTGAAAATTTGAAATTGATCTATCAAACCGTTCTCCTAAAAACGCGTAGACAAGACTTTACAGGCAAGATTTTAAGA